GCCCCTGCTGATGGTTAGTGCCAGCCAATGACCTAATGACGGGGGAGGATGTGGGAGAGCCCTGAGTCCCCGGAAGCACCGGGAAGGTTTCAGGTCCTGAGGAGACTGCAACTCCCTTTGGTGTTCCCTAGTGTCTGCTGCCTAAGGACACAGTATGGCCAAAGGGGGTCACAGGCAGAGGTCACTCGGCTGGAGCAGAGCCTGCCACCAGCCGAGCCTCGCAAGCCTGTGGCCTGAATGCCTTCCAGGTCCCCACAGGACCTCACCACCCTGCCAGCTCGAGGCAGCTGCTGCGTTGGACAGTTCTAGGGAAGCCGAAGAAAACCCTTCACCCCGCCTCCAGCTGGCCCCTCTCCAGAACCGAGTGGCATTCAGACTGCAGAGAGACTGGCACTCACTAGTCACCCTTGCCCATAGGGCACCTGTGCCAGGTGGGGTCCACAGCCAGGCTCTGGGTGCCAGAGTCCCCCTTTCCTCCTCCTGTCACTTTGTCTGAGATACAGCCGACAACACACACAGGGCAGAAACCCACACGGTTTTCCTAACCAGAGCAAGAGGCCTGGGCAGCCCCAGAGACGTAAACTGACGGTCAGCAACTGGAAGCAGAATGCAGTAGAGTCTTGTGGAGCAGAGGGCGCTTCCTGTGCGAAGGCCCTGGTGCGATACGTATGAGGCACGGGGGCTTCTGGGAACACGACCAGAGTGGCTGGAGGGAACCTGAGATGGGGCCGGAAGGGTAGGCAGGCCAGGCTCTTATGCAGCGTGGTGAAGTCTGCCAGACCCCGGAATCGATGGTGTGCACCAGGGACCCAGAGAGGAGTAGGTGGGTACTGAGATGCCTTGGCTGGGAAAGGCAATAACCACCAAGCCCACGTGTTGGAAGGTGAGAGGACCCACACGGTGCTGTCCTTGCCTTCACACCCACACCCCAGCTCTCACATGCGCGTGCACGCACGCGCACATACACACACACGCACACATATCGATGGTGAAGAAAGTTTTGAAAGAAGGGAGCATCAGGATAAGCAGGTTCATTGATGTCCCGCTAGGGGTTGGTTCCCCTGTGCTAAATGGTTCCCAGAGGCATGGTCCAGTCCCCGCTTCCTTTGTGGGCAGCTTTCATCTGTCTGCCCAGGGTCACCTATGACGGGCGCTCCCAGCAAATCTTTTGCTCATGGTGGAATGGACACAGTGCTCTTACTTACCCTGTAAAGCGCTTGGAAGAGACTTTTGCTACAAAGACTGATTCCTCCCTCAGACAGGCGGTGGAGGCACATTTGCCTTTAACGCCAGCACCCGGGAGGCAGAGGCAGGAGGATCTCTGTGAGTTCGAGCCCAGCCTGGTTTACAAGAGCTAGTTCCAGGACAGGCTCCAAAGCGACACAGATAAACCCTGTCTGGAAAAACAAACAAACGATGAAGACTGATTCCTCACACAGACCCAGGTAAACAAAGGCCAAAAGAGTCTTTGTCTGCGCCTCTGCCCCATGCCTGTCAGTTTCACGTGGGTCATGTGCCTGCAGACTTGTTAGGCACTCACAGAATACCTGCCTAGTCCCAGGAGATGACTAACTTCAAGGCCAACATCACAAAGGTAAGGGCATTGTACTATTAGTTTTCAGTGCCCTGTCCCAGGCACCATAAAGGTACCTAATAGTCCGCAGCCATTGTCCTCAACATGCAGTCACCGAGGATAGTAGAAACAGCAGAGCCCCATAGGATAGAACCCTACTAGATGATGGTGATTGCCCATGAGGGTGAGGATATACCCTGGAACTGAATGTCCAACTCCTGAGAACCGGCTTGTCCCCTCAGGCAATAAGGATTTTCTTCTTGGAGCACCCTGCAGATCTGAGACAGTGATAAGCAAGACCACACCTGGCCAGGGCTGATTAAGCAGGCACACTTTATTTTTTTATTTTATGTGCACTGGTGTTTTTGCCTGTATGTGTGTCTCTGTAAAGGTGTCAAAACTCCTGGAGTTGCAATTACAGACAATGATGAGTTGGCATGTGGGTGCTAGGAATTGAACCCAGGTCCTCTGGAAGGTCAGCCAGTCCTCACAACTGCTGAACCATCTCTCCAGCCCCTGGCACGCTTTTAATAAAAGATTTATTTTTATTATTTTCATTTATGTGCAAGAGTATTCGCTAGCCAGGCAGTGGTAGTGCACACCTTTAATCCCAGCACTTGGGAGGCAGAGGTAGGCAGATCTTCTGCAGAGGGAGTTCCAGGACAGTCAGAGATGTTACACAGAGAAACCTGTCTTGAAAAACAAGAAGTATGTGGCTGAATGGATGCTGCATGAACAAAATCTGTGGGAATCAAAAGAAAACATTGTATCCTCTGAAGCTGGAATACAGGGGTTGGGAGCCACCCATTTTGGGTGCTGGGAACTGAACTCTTGTCCTCTGCAAGAGCAGCATTAACTCTTAGCTGCTGAGTCAGGCACTGGTCTTACGTCTTCTCCCAATTCCATTTGAATCTAAAGCTCACATCAGTGCCCTGAAGATGGACCTGGGACCCTTTATCTGCATTTCACAGTGTAGACACGTTGAGTCAGTGGCTTTTTTAGCTGTCACACTGCAAGTGTTAGAGCAATGGCCTAGCTCAGCCTGTTGGAGCCTCTGGAGCCGGGGCTTTTGCTATCAAAACCACCACCCAGGTCTCATCCTGAGCAGCTCTGCCCTAGCCATGCACATGGACAGTTCTCCCAGCTTTAAAGGGGTTTGCTAACTCCGCTCAAACCTGCCTCAGGGTGGCCACCCTCAGGGACGCTGTCACCTGTCGCCAGCAGCACTCGGGTGACCCAGCCCATGCCCTTGGCTTCAGCAGCTTGTTCAGCCTCAAGCAACCCAGGGACAACTGTCTGAGAGGCACAGAGATTGAAAACGCCTTTCGTGTGTGACCACTCCTGGTGACCCGCCTCGCCCCCCATCCGGTTACGTCAGGAATGAAGCCCAGAGTACCTCCAGGGTGCCAAGTACCAAAACTCAATCAGACACAAGGACAGTGAGGTATCTACTTTCTGTCCCATACAGACACCTGTTGATAAGACCTATTTAGCCTGTTTAGCCGGGGTCCATCCCCTTGCAGATTGCTGCCTCCTGGTCCTAAGCTGGACACCACTGGAGATTCTCTCTGTCCACACAACTTGAGATTCTCTCCAAGGCAGGATCTACAAGGGCAGCCAAGAGGCCTCCTTCCGTGGAGGCAAAACATTGTTCACCAGGACTAGCTGTTCAGTAGATTCATACAAAGCAAGTTGGGTTTTTTTTTAATTGGCCAGAGGCCTAGAAACCGACTGGCAAGGATGGAACAGACAGATGGGATCCTATATGAAGTGACTGACTCATTCGGCTTAGAAAGAGAAGGAGATCTTATTAGTCAGTGTCTCAAAGGGCTGCGACTTCACAGGAAGCCTCTCTGGGTCAGCCAGCTGGGACTGCCTCACCTCCTTGACTGGCACCGTCTGGGTTTGCCAAAGACTCCACAAGCCCGGGCATTGAAGCTGCGTGACCACAGCCCTGCCTTGTCCCGAGGTCGGCCCTACAGTCCCTGTTTGCTTACCTACAGGCTGGACCAAGGCCATCTTTACAGTTCTACCTGGGCTTCTGAAGTGGCGTGTCCCAGGAGGTTCCACATCGCAGGGACTCCAGACCATGGCTTGGGATATGGACATCTGGCCAGCCCAGTGGGGCCGTCTGTTCTGCTGACCAAGGACTGATTCTCGGGCTTTTTCTCTTTCCCACCCGTATCTCCCTGCCAGAGGGTTAGCTGGGCTTGACCTCATCCACCCTGTTACCTTCTAAAAGCTCAAGCCAAAGCCCCAGAAAAGAGCCAGGATCCCTAAATGGGCAGACCCCCGGATCGCCTGGAGTCTAAAGTGTACTAACACAGCCAGCACCTGCATACTGCCCACATCCCAGGCACCGAGCAGCGCCCTGGTGGTGCTGGGATGGATCGGCAGATGAGGTCCCTGTAGCTGTGGGGCTGACAACTGCCATTTTTACATGTTTGCAAAGAAGGTACCTGTGTATGGGGAGGTTGACTCGGCATGCATAGTCCTCTTGCTGAAGTCCTAGGTTCAGTTGTCAATGCCTCCCAGCACCTGTGAGTCCAGCTGCAGAGGATCAGATGTGTCTGGCCTTCCAGGAGTCATGTGCACACACACACACACACACACACACAATTTAAAAACAAGTCTTTGAAGCCAGGCGGTGGTGGAGCACGCCTTTAATCCCAGCACTCAGGAGGCAGAGGCAGGCAGATCTCTGTGAGTTCGAGACCAGCCTGGTCTACAGAATTAAAAAAGATAAGAAAAGAAACAAAACAAACAAACAAAAAAACCCAAGTCCTTGAAAGCTAACTACTAAGAGACCCCACACACCATCACCACCAGTGAAGGTCAGCCTGGCCATATACTCAGTCGGCACAGGGGACAGGAGAAAGGCTAAGACTCACCCAGAGACTCCAATCCCACCCTTAGGACTCCAAAGCCCTCGGTGGCCAGGCTGGATGCCTCCCCTGACCAAGGCTCTGGGGATGCCCACTCTACCAATTCCCAGTGTTTCTGGGTTTTGCTTTGTATGATAACACTGCACCCTTTATGGTAACTAAGAAAACAGGACTTTGCCTGGCACAGACAGAAGCCTCAGGTTGTATTCCTCCAGAGGCTGAGGGACCACTATAGCCCCACCCAATCTCTGTTCATGTGAAGCCACAGACAGACCAAGTAGGATCCAGACATTAAAAAAAAAAAAAGTCCCAAGCCCTGAACTGTTTCAGTTGCAGAGTAAAGACTGAAGAGTCGGAAGGGACTTTCAGATGTGAGCCCCACCCACCCACCTTGGGTGGGTGGAGTCCCTCTATTCCCTCACTGGCCAGGCTCCCAGGAGGCAAAGCATCCCAACCCCCCCTTCTGGAGGAAGCCAGAGCATGTTTGGTCTCCTGCAGGCTTGCTCTCCAGCTCCCACCCCACCCTCACAGGAGGCCCTCTCTGTTCCCAAGCTGAGTTCCTGACCTGAGCTGGCATCTTTCCACTGGTAGTGGATCCATTCAGGTCAACCCAGGCAGCAGGCCAGGCAGAGGGTCACTGCTAACTATATGCTAATGAGAGTCGAGGCCAATCAATCCACCTTTAATCAGGCAACCACTGAGCTTGGCAGGTGAGTGCAATTCTGGCCTGTGGAACGAGCAAAAGAGGGGAGCACAGGGGAAGGGGAGGGGGAGCAGAGAGAAAGAAAGGGAGGGAGGGGAAAAGAAGAGAGGAGGAGAACCAAGAGAGAAGGAGGGAGGGGGGTGGGAGGACAGGAGCCCCGTGGACCCCACCTCTATCCCTTAGGCACAGCCTTGCTCGCCTAGACTGGCTGTGCCCCCAGGGACCACTGGCTGAAAATTGGAAAAAAAAAAAAAAAAACAAGGGAAGAGAGAAAGGAAAAAAAGTGTTAGGGGATCATCTTTTTAATCAACTCTCAAAGCTGCAACAGCTAATGAATTCACAGTCTTCAGGAACCCCAGGGCACGTCTGTGAGAAGCCAGACCTCCTCCCTCCCTGACTCCCAGCTCCCACCTGCCTCCTCTGCCTCCCTCTCTCTCTTCCCAGCTGCTCTACTTCACAGTTCAAAGCTCAGGGAGAACAGAGGAGCCAAGCAGGATACAGATCTCAGTGGTTCCTGGGAACTTAAAGACGGGAGTTCTATGGGTCTCACCCTGACTTTCAGCAATGCATCCCCCCCCCCAGGGAAAGGCTCCCCCAAGGTCATCACTTCTGCAATGCCAAGGCCTTGGATTCCTCTCAGCTCAGAGGATATGGTAAAAGAGGACTAAACAGACACCTTGAAGGTCCTTTTTCTGATGAGCCCAACTTTACAACAGTTGAGGTTATTTATTTAGCATGAGCTTTAACGTTGACTGTGTGGAGAATGCTACCACACAGCCTCTGTAAGCTAGTTACTGTGTTACAGATGACAAAATGGAGACTAGGACACGGACACAAATCTGCCAACATCTCACGGTAGAAGTGTTTTGTGATACTGTTCCTGGGGAAATGTGAACAAACTTACCCCAGTGATCTCAGGATAGAATAAAGCCCAACTTGATAAACCAATGAGATTATTAAGGTTACTCATCAAGCAGAAATAACTCAAAGGCAGTTGTATCAGCCCACCCCAGCATGGAAAACAGAACTGGGACCCTGGAACTCTCTGCATGACTGACAGGCATGACTCAACAGAGCAGAGTCTCCTCTCCTCCGCAGGCCTTACTGATTATGTAACCTTGGACAGGGAGGAAACTTGCCATCTGCTAAGTTTCAGGGATTTCCTGAGACTTACCTGTTGTTTACTTCTGGAGTTCCCCTTCCAGATGGAATGTTTCAATTCAGAGGAAATTGCTATACCTCAGGGAGATGTGAGTCCTCACAGCAGCTCTGGCTACAAGGTCCTGGTGAGGCCGGTTTCTACAGGAATTCTGAGGTACCCTGACCCCCTTGCCCTCCTCCTCACAGCTCCACTTAGCAGAGCCTTTTGTCTTTGAAGCTTTGACTTCACATCTTCTCTGGCAGTTTTTTTCCCCTCCTTTTAAAAAAAATGCCAAGTAGTCAGTTTTGATAGTTAAGCTTTATTCATGTTCGTCCTGACTGGCAATGTGATTAAAAGCAAATTGCTGGCTGTCTCCAGGCTCCTGGGGCGGTATACGGCATGGCACGCAGGATACAAATACCTTCCAAGGCCTTTGTGTACCTCACTTACTACTGCCTCCTCAGCTGACTCAACTAGAACCCAGAGATGTTAACTAACTTATCTGAGGTCACCCAGCAAACCAGCACACACACACACTGCTTTGGCAGCCTCTGGTCTAACCTTAGCACTAACAGTCCAGGTTTCCAGGGAAATCCTATTTAGGTCAGCTCAAGTGGCAGAAGGCAGAGGTTGGGAAGGGAGACAGCCCTATTCTGCAGGGAAGGAAGGGCTGGAGAGTGGGCTGAAGACAAGGCTCCTCTACGCACTTTCCAGGCTTCAGCAGTCACGTGTTGCATGCCCAGGCTGAGGCACGGAAGCAGCTAGCCTTCACTGCTGCTGCAAGCACAGCATCCAGAAAGTTCCGTCGGACCAATGGCTCCCAGAGACACGAGTCTCCTTGAGAATACAGCCCCCTGTGTGTGTGTGTGTGTGTGTGTGTGTGTGTGTGTGTGTGTGTGTGTGTGTCCTTCTTTATATTGCTCTGACAATTGGCCCGCTATGGCCGCCAGTTCCCCCATCCCTGCTGGGCTCTTCCACCACCTCAGTCCTGCTTAGGCCACAACCTCCAGAAGGGCAGCGGAAGATAGTTTATTCCTATCTGCATTGAGCACGTTGCTCCCAGGTCCAGGCAGCTGTGCCGGGCCATCAAGGTGAAGCTTTGGAGGGCTTCCTGGGAACAGACTCGGGGAATATGCGTCCACGGGTGGCAGTCGAGGGCAGTGGTGTATCTCAGGGCTGGAGGCCCTGCTATTTCAGCAGCTGTAGGCAATCCTGATCACATTTCACAGGTAGTAGCCTGAAGCTGAGGAGAGACGCTACCTGACTCGTGTAGACGGCGCCAGGTGCTAATCGACAAGCCCCAGTATTCGACAAACCCCAGGAGAGCTCAAGTTGCCAAGCTTGATGGGCCTGGAGACTGTGATGCCAGCAGGCTGGCACCAGAGCTGGCTGCCCGGGACGTCCTCTCCCCTCTGCCCTCCTTGCTTTGTGTCTTCTCCACTCTGTACAAGAGGCATCGCCCAAATGACAATGCAAGGTCACAGGGTCTGGGTGACCAAGCAGTTCCAGTCTGGCTCCTTCCTGGACCCCGACCTGCAGACGAGTCTCATCCCTGGGTGAGCTGGCTTCCCAGAGGTAGCACCTTGGTGCTCTTCCCAGAACTGGACTTTTAGAGTAGGCTGACCTCAAGATCAGGCAGGTCCCACACCTTGGGACTCCACATGGGAAGGGTATCTTTCTTGCCTATGTCTTGCTCAAAGTCTGCTATTGGAAAGCCAGTACCTCAGGCTCCTTCCAATGCTTATCACGCCCTGGAGCAGCACCAGACAGGAATACCATAAGTATCGCCAGCCAGGTAACAGCAACTACCCATTTCTACTACTATAACAACAGCAACAAACCAGCTATAAATACAACAAGAGGAATTGACACCACCATGTTCCAATAAAGTTTTATTTCCAAAAGCAAGGAGAGGGCCAAGGTGTTAATTTCCTGACTTCTACTCCACAGCCATGAAATCTCTCACCAGACAAGAAAGAGTGATGGGATCCCTGGGAGAATCCCTTCCCCGAGGAGACTAAACAATGCCTACCTCCTCTTCATAAGATCCCAGTGACAAACCAAAGTACAGAGTCACTAAAATTCACCCCGAGGAGAACCAATGACTTTACTGGGCCTGTTTATAGAACATGGGTGGGGGATTAGTGACCAGAGCACGGGGGACCCCGAAGCAGCTGCACTGGAAATCTGTGCTCACGTGATGATCACTTCCTCATAGCAGAACAGAGAGAGCCCCTCAGTGACCCTTCCTCAGACTAGATACCTCGTGGACCTCCAAAGCCATGTGCAGTTAGGGATGGACTGCGTATAGATGACTGGAAGGAGATGCTGGACCCTCAGGAGAGAGTCAGTGACCGTCCCCACCCCTTCATCTATGAGGGCGTGTCAATAGTCAGTAAGCCCCAATTGTGGATGCACTCTTGCAGTCAAGAGTAGCCGACCTGATGAAGATGGCATCCGTTTTGCTTGGACCGCACTGTACAACACGGACTGCGCAGGAGCGGACTGCACCCCAGCCTAGAAGTGGCGTAAGTGCTTTCTACCACATCTTGTTGGCCAGATCTCAGGCTACCACAAAGGAGGCTGGGAAATATCCATTGCATTCATGAGAAATAGACCAGAAGAGGCTTCAGGGGCCACCTGCTCCTCTGCCTCACCTCTGGTCTTCAACAAGTCACTGACATGGAGGCCCCCTCCTCCCTCTTGGGAAGCTTTGTGTAGCCATTTCTCCTCTGTGACAAAACACCTGCCAGGAGCAACTTAAGGGAAGAAAGATTCACATGGGCTCGTGGTGGTTTTGTTTTTGTTTTTGAGATCTACAGCCCCTCCGGATGGTGAAGGCACAGTCACAGGAGTGTGTCAGATGCTCTTTCATTGTGACCCACCAGAAAGGTAAAGATACTGACTAAAACCTCAAAGGCCCACCCCTCAATGACCTCACCCTTCGACCAGCCGGACCCTACCTCCTCAAGGTTCCACCCCCTTCAAAACAGCATGAGTGTGGAGAAACGAGACCTCAAAGCGTGAGCCTTTGGGAATATTTCACATTAAAACCATGACATTTGGACAGCAAGAATGCTTTCACAGCTCGTGCCTGGAGCTGTTGCTAGACTCGATGGTCCTGAAGAGTTGAAGGTCACCAAAGTGGATACAGTTTGACTCTAACCAGGGCCTCCAGCAGGTGAAATATGATGGATTCTAGAACCAGGAGGCTGTATCCCCAGAACAGCTCACCTTAGAGTCTCCCCCTCTCATTTAACAACAAAACCTACCTGGACCTTGTCCTTGTCCAAATCTCCATCCTTTTCGTTTGGTGCCCATTGTTCGGTATTACCAGGAGCTGGTGCGGCACTAAGCACTTCAGAGCGTTCTCCTCTCACCCCTTAGGAGCCCAGAACTGGAAGGCTCAGTAGATGGTTAGAGAGCTGGCACCTCACACAGCCCTGCGCCCTGACCCCTTCGCTGTGCAACTGTGCAGTCCCATCCAGTCCCATCCAGTCCCACTCCAGAACCATCCGAGAAGCTCTCTGTGGCTGACGCAACGCCAGCACGAAAGTCATTTGAAGGATCTGGGCTTCTCACTCCTGTGCCTCTGCCGTCACCCTGAGCACACACCGAGCTAGTCTAATGGAGGATGAAAGATGTGATAAGCAGATTCAGGTCACTCAAACTACCTCTGCTGACAGCCTTCCTGTCCCCAGACAAGAGAGTGGGTCCGTCAAGGCTGCACAAACCCTGACCCTTCCTCTTAGCTGACTCCAGATGTGTGAGAAATAATGTTCACTATCTCAGGCCACCAAGATTTGGGGATGGTTTGTTATGTAGCGCTATTGTGTAGCAATAAATCACTATTGCACTCCGGCTGTCTCCATTTTAAAGGCAAGAAAAAGTAAAGCCAGGAGAAGCTAAGTGCTTTGCTCAGGGTATTATAGCTGGTAAATGATAGCACCTGGGTTTGCCCTGAAGCCTCTTTAATCAGTGCATAGTCTATCAGAGCCCAGCCTCTGCTCAGGCCAGGCTTTTGTTCAGAGATCTGACAACTGCCTGATCCCGGAACTGTAACGGTACCCACATGCAGTAGTCACTAGTGGAAGGACCCTACTTTTGAGTGGCAGCAACTAAGAGGCCCTTCTTGCTCTCAGGAAGCCCACAGGCATGGACTTTCCCAGAGAGTGGGGAGAAGGAAGCCAGTAAACCAGCGATCAGATTTCTCCCCAGCAACAGGAGCCTGGACTCGGGGCAGGCACCAGGGACCCGTTACCGCTCAATCATTCCTTTGTTCTCTGGAAGACCTGGGGGAGACAAGGGCAATATCAAAGGATGTAGAGAATGGTTCTTTAGAAACTACCAGGTCTTCTGATGTGGTGACAGCCCCCATGGGAAAGATGCTGGGTGGGCTTGGGGAACTGGGGCCACTGTGTCAGAACATGAAGCCTGCCTGCTTAGTACTGGCTAAGATGAACCCTGGTTGGCCCAAGAAACTGCCTGGGGGTACATCTCGGGGAATGTGCTCTGTGTGTGTGGGGGGGGGCTGGAGAGGGCAAGCTTTGCTGAGCATCCTGCTAACCCTGCCCACCCATCCTGTAAACTCTGGGAGCTGATCTGTCTAGGGAGCCCGTGTTCCGCCCAGTCTGCTCCAGAGCCACTCAGAGGAAGCAGCGCTTTCTCCCTGGTTGGAGTTTTGCACACACAGAACCAGGGAAGAATTGATTTCCGCTTATCTTATTTCCCCATCAGGCATCCACGCCTCAGTAGCCTTATGATTACCCCGTGTTACTGCTCCTGTTCCCTGTCAGCACCAATATATTTCTAATTGAAAAGAAATGCAGGCACACAAAAACTGTGTGTGTGTGTGTGTGTGCACGCGCGCCTATCACCATACAAATGCATGCATGCACACATGCATTCACACATATGCATACACATGTACATATACACAAGCATACACATTTGCACACACATGTACATACCAGCATGCACACACACTGGTACACACATGCATGCATGCCAACCGGCACATACACAATCATGCATGGCTTTTCTTGGTCTCTGGGTAACATGTCAGATGACACCTTCATAATGCCAAGCAACCCCTAGGTTGTCTCCTGAAAATTCCAGAGCCATAGCTCTGGACGTCCCTTTGTCTCTAGGGAGTCCGTACAGCTTTTAGAATACTCCAGGGTCTTTCCAAAAGAAAGCATAGAAGCTAGTGCCATCTATTGGTGGGGACCCTGGTCTGGAGCTGAGCTGTGACATTATGTGCTAATTCTCTCTCTTAAAGTCTCTGTCATAGACTGACCTGCCAGCTATGTGACCCAGTCCTCATCATAGTTCATAATGCAGGGTAGGCTGTGGTGCTCAATAAGTGTTTGTAGACATTAATGCCATTCCTAAGAAACGAGAATGTTGTTCAGGACAGAAAAGTGATGCAGCCCTCTCAGCTCCCTCCTAGTAAAAACTCAAGACCCATGCACACACACACACACACTCTCTCTAACGCCGGTCCCTTGGTGGCAAAATTTCACCCTAAGTAAGCAGCAGAATGAGTTTCAGTTGTGGGTCATGGCCGTGACTCAGATAGACTAGCTGGTGACTCAGAGCTGGCCTCTGGGGCCAGACAGACCTTCAGCTGAACCCTGGTTCTCATGCCTCTGTGGCTTGAGCAGGCTGCTGGATTCCCCCCCCCAGCCTCCTATTATGATGGTGACACAATAGGACCAGCTTTGCGGATTTCCTGTGAGTCTCCAGTGAGATACAGCGCAAAAAGTGCCTGCACAGCAGCGGCCCTCGCTCGTGGTGGCTGGTGGTGCTGCCTGCCACTGATACTCATGCACACAGCAGCCTTGGCTCTGCTGCAAGGACAGAGAAAGCAAGAGCCAGGTCCCCTGGGAGCGTGCAGCTGGTGGGGAGAAAGAGAAAGCTGAGAAGGAGTGCCTTCAAAAGCACTGCTTGCTAAACTTAGTTCTGAGGTCAGAAGGAGGTCAGAGGAGTGAGAGGCCAGGCTGGGCTGAAGTAGTCAAGAGAGGTTTCCTGGAAGGGTGTGGTGAGGGGGGCACTCGAGGGGTCAGGAGGTGAGGTGGCAGGGCACCGGAGTACGACAGCACAAACCAAGCCGCATGCAAAGAGTTTGCAGGCAAGGGGAAGGAGGGCTGGCCTAGACAGAGGGTGTGGAGACCCAGGCTTATTTGACCTTTGCTTTTAGGATAGCGTCAGAGACATAGTGGGAAAGAGAGTGTATGTTCCCACAGGCAATAATAGTTTAGCAATGGCAATAGAGTGAGAACTAAAATCACCCTTCCCCCAAGAGTCAACTAGCAGCTGTGTCTGATCAACAGCCTCCGTGGGGCGAGTGACTCTCACCCTGACCCCTGACCTCTGCCACTTTCTTCTTCGGGTCAGGACTCTTGAGAGAAGGTGGATACGCTTCCACAGCACTCACGGGGGATCCACACATCTGAGCCTCACCAACAGCAGAGATTCAGAACCATGGACAGCACCATAGCCGGGCAGTCCCGGAAGGTGGCCCGCCTAAGCTACAGGCTCGGCCCCACAAACACTTGCAGTCCAGCACCACAGACAGCTTCCAGAGCCCAGGCCTCTGGGCTCCAAGGCTTCAAAGGAATGCGAGCAATTTTCCCCCACGCCATAGGAGCACCCCCAAGCCACCTTCCAGGAGCCAATGACCACTCCTGTGGCAACTTGCATTCTAGAAACTCTTAAACTACTCCTTCTCCACCTCCCTGCACAATCTACTTCAGAAAATCCCATTCCACTGGCCTGCGGCTCTCACAGGAGCACAAAAGCCTGCACATCAGAAATCTCGTACGGCTCGGCCTAATATCCACTCCTTTGAGAGCAACCCTTTCTCCTGCCAGGCGTCTGCGCCCTCCCTCAGATTCCACGCCACCAAGTCTGGCCAGCAGTGACCTACCACCCTCGACAGACTGGGAGAACTTCCCTTCCAGGGAAACTGCCTGCTCCGAGGCGGCCCCACTGAGCCAGCCCAGACCTCATGACCTCTGCCACAGCTAATGAATACAAGCCACAAAGAGCAAAGAGGCTTTGAAATGATCCAGGACACAGAGGCTGCTCGGCATGGACACAGAGTTCTCATCAGAACGTTCATGGAAGGGAATTAATCAGGAGGCTCGATGGAGTCTCGAGTGGTGGGGAGGGGCAGGAAAGGTGATGGGGCCTGGGGGTGGGGTGCTCTGTCTCAGTAATCAATGCTGGGAAGACTTCTGTGAATGCCAATGATCTAACTGCACATGGAGGCTGGGAAAAGCGAGACGGAGCAGAAAATGCAAGGCCTAACAACACAGCAGCCTCTGTGGCCTCAGACAAGAAAAGCCACTGCATTCATTCATTCATTCATTCATCCATCCATCCACCCACCCACCCATTCATCCATCTGGCCCATCGTCTATGGAGAACCTCTCATATGCTGGGCTCTGGCTGTGGTAGTGACCGGATAGGAATGAACTGCAAAGACGTTGGAATGGAGTTCAAAGAATCCGAAACTCTTAAACTACTACTTGGGTTCCTTCTGTGTCTCCTGACCTTTCTCACTTATGACCAATTGTATGTTTTGTACACACACACACACACACACACACACACCAGAACAGCTACATGGGGCAGGGGGACTGAGTGATACTGTCCAAAGCCAGCGGTTGCAGAGCCTGAGGATAGCAAGGAGGCATAGAAGGTTCTCTGAATCACCCGTTCAACACCTTGCTTATATTTTATTTCTTCCTATTGTTTGGGGCTGGAGAGAGGGCTCAGCAGTTAAGAGCACCAGCTGCTCTTGCTTTGGTGCCCAGCACTAACATGGCAGCTCATAACCGTGTGTCACCTGCAGCTCCAGGGTATCCAGTACACTCTTCTGACCTCCTCAGGTACCAGGCACACATGTGGTGCAGACAAAACACTCATATACACAAAAAGGAAAATCTTTTTTAAATTGCTATTGTTGCTGGGCGTTAGTGGCGCACACCTTTAATCCCAGCACTCAGGAGGCAGAGGCAGATGGATCTCTCTGAGTTCCAGGTCAGCCTGTTCTACAGAGTGAGTCCCAGGACAGCCAGGACTGTTGCACAAAGAACCCCTGTCTCGAAAAAAAAATGCCATTGTTTTGAGTCATGCAGTGTGAGTGGCCATTTGTGACAGTGAGGCTAGAAAATGGAGGTCTGTCCGAAGCTTTGCTGTGGCCTAAGGAATCAGGAGGAGCCCCCTGGAGGAAGTGACATTTGATCAAAGACCTGAAGCCTAAAGGTTGGCAGCTGAGACTATTCTCAGAGAGGCTATAGGTGCAAAGTCCTGAAGCAAGGAGAACCTGAAGAAAGGACCCAGAAGGCTGGCACAGTAGGGGGAGGAAGAGGTGCCAGATGGGTCTCAAAAGGTGGGCAGTGGGGGACTTCGTGCCCAGAGAATAAGATGCAGCTTCAAGCCGGGAATGCTTAAGCCTCAGCCCCATGGAACCAGAGTCCTACTGGTCTTTGCCCTGCACACACGCATGCTATATAAATATTAGTTGATGGGTCCAGGTGTGCACCTGTCTGCGGAGGGCGTTTGACTCTGAGTATCCTCTGGAATGTGCCCACTGCCTCCCTGGATAGTTGAATCTCATTTTTCCCTGCCCCTGCATCTGTCCTAGGTCTGTGTGAGGTGACACCCCCCCAAGCCTGAGTTCTTCAGCATTCCTGTCCCCCAAGCTTCACATTCACAGACAAGCGGCTTTCTCCCTTTTGGTCAACCTCAGACTGAATTAAAATAGCACTGCCACAGAGCGTGTCTGGTTCGCCCAAGGAATTCCAAGTCTCCGGTGACTTCATTAACTCCAGTGCCTTCAGTCATTCAGCCACGGTGCTTTCTGTCCTGCAACCCCCCCCACCCATGGAGGGGTCTCATTAGCTGGGAAATATGAACCACTTAGTAGTTCCATTAACTTCACACTTTCAACACATTTTATCTCAGCCTCTCTTTCTGCACTGCCCTTTCCTGTGATCGCTGGCTCTCCACTCATTAGCTGAAGGGCCACTCACCTCGCCGCGTCTCCCTCCTTCTCTCAGCCCCTTCCCTTCCTTGTCTCTCCTGCCCCTTCAGAATCAGAGCACATGGACTCCTTGAACCAGGACCTTCAGTGAGTATACGATGCTGCTTGGCGGGGGGGGGGGCAGGAGAGGGCCATGGGTCCAGGATCCCAACCCCTCACTGTCTATGGCACCGTGGATTGCAAAACCCTACACAAACTACCAGGGACACCGAAGAGGGCTTCTAGAACACCTGCCCCTTACAGATGCTCCCTTGGCCCCGGGAACTTTCGGGTACTATAGAGCAGGCATGTGACTGGCGGGAAGGTGGGGGCTGCCTGCTCCAAAGACCATTAGCTGACTCTGCTTCCTTCTCCCTTCTCCTTTGAGGCAGAGTTCTCCCCCATACCTTCAACTTACTCTGGGGTCTGCTTTCTCTACAGCAAAACAGAGGCAGTGATATCCACAGGTGGGCTCAGCCTCAGAATGTAGGGAAAGGTGGTTGCGGAAGCGGGGGTAGAAGCTAGATTCTGAGTGAGGACTCCGAGATTCACAGAAAGAGATGGAAAACAGACTCAGTCAAAGCCGGAGGCTGCCCGGTGTGCCTTTAGCCTCACTTTTGGCTCCTGAGCTAGCGCCAATGAGATTGTACTGAGCCAGTGTTTGGGAAGTGACCCCGCAGCTCCCGCATGCCGGGTCCCGTGCTAGGCGTGGTGAACTGGAGGTCTTTGGAAGCTGTAGGTGAGAAGCAGCGTGGTGGAGACACAGATGGAGCGTCATCCCTGTGCTGGATGGAACCGGTGTGGCC